TCAACAGTGCTGACCCTGGGAGGCACTGGTGATGGCTCAAATAGATCCCTGCCACATACATAGGAGGCCTTTGGTGAGTTCCCATTTCCTGGCTTTAGCCTGGTCTCATTCTGATCATTGTGGACATTTGGGGAATAAACCAGCAGATAGGAGCTCTGATTCCATATATTTTTCTCTGTCCATCAAATAAATAAAAGCAAAAGTTCTAATGGTTTCCTTGACTGATCCAGGTCTATCATATATGGGTTGGAAACTTTTGCTTCTCTTGGTATCACTAACTAGGTATCTGTCAGTATCTACTTGAGTTTATAAAGACAGTGATTTAGTGTGGTATTGGTCAGTCCAACATAATCTGAGTTAGCCCTATCTGTATCTTTTCACTCTCTAACTAAAATATAATTACCAAAGTAGTGAGTTTTGATAGAGACAATATGGAGAGTAGCTGATAGCAGAAAAGGTAAAATAAACAGATCTCCCTAGGCTTATCCAGAGTAGTATGGCCATGGAAGGGAAATTGGTAGCTGGGCCAAGGGGATTCTGGGAATGGATGAGGTGCATTTTTATTTATCATAACATTTGAATAGCTCTACCTTTATCTCCCTCACAAGGAGGAGGAAATACTTACTGTCTCTCTCTTATAGTACATGCTCCCCTGATTTAAGGACACAGAACTCAAGTGAATGGAGCTACTATTTATTGATTGATTCATTCATCAACAAATATATATTTAACTACAATCTATTAAATAGTCTTCTGTTTGCTAGTCTGAGAGCTGAACTGCTATATATAACATTGCTTATCCTATGGGAAAAGAAAGACACCAGGGAGACAATGAAATATTGGACTACAGCTTTTGTATAAGTTAGGGCTGCCTATGGTGTTTAAGCACTAGGAATAGAAGATAGTTGTTTCTGAACTTACTGGAAAACCCACTGGTGACATCTTTAAAAGCATAGAATGTGCTATCAACAAAACTATAAATAATATTATGCTGGTTTTGGTAAATGAATGTAATACTATTAACATCAAAAATGTATCGAAAAAGCAGATACTACATATTTTATGTTTTTCCCCAAAATAATGCCTGCTTGTCTCTATTAAGCTGACCATTCTATTTTGCATAGTTATTACCAAGATGTGTTTGTCAATTTGCTAGCTAGAGTTATCCTTGTTCCACAAAACAAACAAGACCAAACAAACACCAAAAACCATCTATTCTATTGTACTAAATGGGACCAAGATCTGTCATTGATCCACTAGCATTGTACTTAAATCAACAGAGCCAAGCAACTCCATTGAAAAAAAGACACAGAAATTCACTCTCAAATGGTACTTATCCATCGAAGCACACACAGTAGTCACCCCCAGGCCATGCATAAAATGTTAGAAGACCACGAGTAGAAGTTTGAAACCAAGGGTATTACCAACTCCTGTAGTATTAGAGTTCTCTAGAGATACAGAATCAATAGCATGTGTATATAGGGTTATGAAGGAGGACTTATTCGAGAGTTTAGTTCATGTGACTATGGCAGCTACAAGTCCCACCTCAGGATGATGCTGGAATAACAATAGTACCACCCGGTGTAATTCCAAGGGCCTGGAAACCAGAGAAGCCAAGGGTTTGAACCTCAGTTCAAAGCCAAAAGCTGGAGTGTCAACAAGGGGGCTGTGTATATGTCCTGGAGTTCAAAGGCCAGCAGCTGACCTCTAAGATGGGAATCAAGCATATCCCAGCTCTCAGAGTGAGAAATCAATTCACCTTTTGTGTTTAGTCTCTCCAGATGCCTAGCCAATTGATGGCATCCGCCCATGTCACTGCTGGATCTTCCCACCTGGTTCACTCGGACTCACATGATAATCTCACTTGGAAATGCCCTCATAGACACACACAAAGTCACGATTTTTAGGCTTCTAGGTATCCTTTAATCCATTCAAGTTGACATAAAATCAACCATCATGCCTTTGTATATGCTGTGTTTTTTTCCTATGCATACCTACCTATCATAAAGTTTAATTTATAAATTAGACATATTGAGATTAATAACAATAATCCCAAAATAGAACAACTGTACCACTATCTTATGAGTTTTTTAAAAAAATACCATGTAAATTGTTTATTTCTGAGTTTTCCAGTGAATATTTTTGAAATGTGGTTGACTGCAGTTAAAACTGTGGAAGGCAAAATCGCCTATAAGAGGATGCTACTATCCCACCATGTAAGATACTCAGCAGTGTGGCCCTGAGTAGGCCTTTGGAGCAGTATGGTTCAATTCCAGAGCAACACATCTGCTTTGGAATTAAGAAGTGAGAGTGAATTAATCCTCAGCTGTAGAGACGATCTGACCAGATTCCTATCACTATTTCTGGCCTCTAGGGCTTTGAAAGCATACCCAGGGATTCCTCAACCCAATATAGGACTGATGGATGAGGTGTGCAGGTGGACAGGCCTGCTTGGATCAATCCTCTTTTTAGTCCATTTCCTTGCTTATCGTGAACAATGGGAGAAGTAAAGACAGTGGAAAAAAAATCAGTTAGTTAAATTGTTTGTTTTTACAGCTGGCCTAAAGAATAGTGAGGGAAGCCAATAAAACTAAGTGATGAGAATTACATGTCAGAGTTTTCTGGGGCTTTTGATTATCTGTTGCTTGCCAAGTTTTACTACCACAGAGAGGACAACATGGGCAAGAGTAGGAAAGAGCAAACCTGACTGGAGCATTTCATGTGCTGTCACATAGACATGTGCTGGCTTCATAGACCCGCAAAATGACTTCAAGCCTGAACCCCATTTTCCTAACAACTTTGCATCAGCACAAGAGACATATGCATGTCCAATACTAATAGTCAGGAGTGTGCACGCCTGAGAAATCCGAGGGGCTGCTTCTCACGGCATCGTCCCTCAGGCTGGCCAGCTGGTACACGGAAGGCACTACGTTGCACTTGTGTCTTGTCCTTGTCACGTCATTCACAGAAGTTGAGATTCCCACTGTCTGTCTTTCCAAATCCCATCTCCTGAGGGCTTTCTGGAACAGTCTATCAGTTCTTGTTGACTTCGTCCCCCTCTGACTTTCTTCCAAAACCATCATGGCAGCAGTTGAAGGAATGTTGTTTCATTTGGCCGTTGATTCACTTTTACGAATTCTCCTTGTTTACCCAACTAGATTGCATGGGGGTTGAGACACTCTTTCTATGTCTACAAAAGCATCACACACAATGCCTACTTAGCACACAGGGGGTACCCAGTGCAAACCTGTTTGCCAACTATGCTCAAAGGCAAACAAAAAATATCTGCACTTCTATTTCTAGTCTGAGGTTATTTTGTTGTTGAAAATAGTGAGGAACAATGAGAATCAGAGAAATTAGTGAGTTCTCTTTTTTCAACCAGTTCTTTGTCTTCTCCTGTAAGCAAGCAGTATCATCTCACCACATTGCATTACACCTTGGACGGGCAAGGAAGGGCAGAAGCTACCTCTCCTCTTAGAGAGTTCATGCACAAACTGGTGGCACCCTTGGTGGCTCAGACATTTGACACCTGCCCTGCTTGTGGGGAAGGTACAGTAGAATCTCCATTAACCAGACCCAGTAGTCCAGAATCCTCAGTTCAATGGAAGCATGATTCTTCATGCATTAAGGGAAAGAGGTTAAGTTATGCAAAAATCAAGATCAAGTAAAGAATTATTTGACAACCCATATCCTTGGACAGCTCTATAGTTACTCAGCCCCATTTCATACGCTTATAAGAATTGACAATTACAATAGTAAGGAACATTTAATAAGTGCTTCCTGGGGAGCAGGTAGCAAACAGTGTACTTTTTTGTACCCCTTTGATGACAGCTCCCTGTTGTCCCCACTTCGGAAAGTCTCACAACCACCACTCTGCTATGTGCTTCTATGCGTTCTCTTTGAGATTCTGCACGAGTGAGCTCATGTAATTTGTCTTTCTGTGTCTGGCTTACTTCACTTAGTATAATGTTCTCCAGGTTCATTTGCAAGTGGCAGAATTTCCTTCTTTGAAAAGGGTGAATAGTAGTCCTGTGTGTGTGTGTGTGTGTGTATCACATTTTCTTAACAATTCATCTTTTCTCTGGCACTGAGGTTGCTTCTATAATTTGTTGATGGTGACTAGGACTTCACCGAACATGGCAGTGCAGAAATATTTGAGGTGCTGACTTCATTTCCTTTGGATAAATACTCCGAAGCGGGATTGCTGGATCTTGTGTGTTTTATTTTGAATGTTTTGAGGAACGTTCATACTGTTTTCCATAAATGGCTGTACTGCTAGAGTACTTTAAACAACTCTTCTCATTCAATCATTATAAAAAACATCTACAAAGTATGCATTACAGTATGCAGTATCAGAACATAATGGTTATGCTTTACCGGTAATATAATATTTACCTTTAGACAATCACTATTCTTAATCACTACAGTTCTTCCTTGTATATTATACCTACTAAACTGAAATGTTGCCAATATATTATACAGCTATTTTCATTAAAGTTTGGAGTTATAGAAATTTTGGGTTGACTGTTTAAAATCAGCTAAACTGATCATTCTCCATCTAAAAACCTAATAGAGATTTTAATATAGCAAAGAGCTGAAGGAAAAAAAAACAGAAGAGGAGTAATTCATTGACTGTATTTTGCAGATGCAAAAACTCAGGCAATGTCATCACCAATTTAGTTGCAAAAGGGAATGGAAAAGCCATTTAGGAAGAGCTGAAACCAGTCCTAAGCTACATTTCTAAGGCACCTGCAAGATTGTCTGAGAGCAAATTGGGTATACAGCATTTGGTTATTATGAGTATAGATGATCTGAGTGGTGATGAGATGGTATATTTCCTTAGCTTAATGATACAGGGGCAAGTACATAGGCATTCAGTTTGGTGAGGAGCAATTCCATTGGTCAGTATGGGAGCTGAGAAAGCAAATATTCTGGTCTAAGTTTTATTGCCAAGTGATTCTCAGGAAACCATAGGGATCCAGGTGCTCTGAGGCTCTTACCTGGTGGCCAGGCTGCTCCAGCTAATGATGTTTGAGTGCCCCTTTGATACAGGATGCTGCATTGCTGGAGTGGAAGAAATGTCCTTTAAGTTGCTTTTCATGACCATTTTTCCTGTACCTGCAATATGATTGCAACCTTAGTGAGTCGGCATGATAGCTCTTCACAAAGGATTTGGGACAATTCCCCAGTGACTGAGACATTTCTAGCCCCTTGAAGAGGGGAAGGCTGGGGACCCTTAGCTATAGACGACTCCTAAGATGATGAATTGCAGCAAGCTCTCCAGTGTCTTTTTACAGAATTAGAGTAAGTGAGGATTTCAGTTCCAAAGGGTATGCTTAAAATAACTTCCTGCTGAACCACTGTGGAACCTTTTTGTCCTAGCACCCTTCCCACGTCACCCAGGAAAACAGCACCTGAGGAGCCCTCGCTCCTCTAAGAGGGTCTAGAGCCACTGTGGCACTTTTGCAAAGCATCTGTTCATGAGGCTCCTCTCACTTCTTGGAGGCTGCCCACTGCAATTCGTTCCTCTTGGACATGGCCATTGTGCCTTTACTTTCCTTCTAAGGCTTCCTTTCGCTTTTGAAGAATTAGGATCTTACAAGGGACGGCTGTCAAGAGTTTTGGGAATTTCTAGATCAGAAATAACACAATAGCAAGTAACTTTCTCTTCTGCAAAATGGGCACAATGCCATGCCTTTGAAGGGTGATTACAAAGGTAAATGCAGGCATCTTTGAAATCAGCAGGTTACATGAACAATGTAAAGCTGCTTTAAGATGGAAAAAAAAGTGACACATGAATCATTTGCAAGAGTCTTCATGCACCCATATGTTGTCCTCTATCATGCCATTCTTAGCCTGGCATCCAAAATCAACCCAGGAAGCTTTTTCAACACTCTGGGATGTTGTTAATAAACAATAGCATTGTGGGAATGGGCCTAGGAGTTAAGATGCCCTCATGCTTCTCTGGAGTGTCTAGGGTTGATTCCTGACTCCAGCTCTTGACTCCAACTTCCTGCTAATGCGGACCCTAGGAGGCAGTGGTGATGGCTCGAGTAATTAGGTCCCTGCCTCCTGTGGGAGGCCTGGAATGAATTCCCAGCTCTTGGTTTCTGCCTATAGCCTCACTCATGGCTGTTATGAGCATTTGTGGAGTGAACCAGTAGATGAGAGCACTCATTCTCTCCCTCCTTCCCTCTCTCTCTCTCTCTCTCTCTGTGTGTGTGTCTGTCTCTGTCTCTGTCTCTTATGTTAAGTAAATAGAATTTTTAAAGAATTGGTACGGGTACTGTGATTTCAAAGAAGTCATCTTCTAAATAATGCCCTGCAGGTGAAATGCTGTGGTTCACTCTTTAAAGTCCCTACACTGTTAGCCGGCTTGAACCTGACTGCTAGGTGGTCACAGATGGAAAGGCGATCTGAGAAGAAGTTACCAAGGAGATGGACAAAGTCCCCTGCCCACCCAAGTGGAGAAAGGAGACATGACCTTTCCCTCCTGTCTCCACAAGAACACCACTCTGCACTTAGACCCGTCAGAATGGGTGGAGTGCCCATGTGAGACAAGTCTTTAAACCCAGCTATCCCCTCATTTGGAACAATGGCAGACATCAGAAGCCACAGAAACGGCTTGGTATCCCTCTTCTTTTGATGTAATTCTTTCTGGATCATTCTAATCCACAGAGTCAAAACACACTTGTGGGAGAAGAGGCACATTCTTTGGAGTGCGATTATTCGGCTTAAACCGGCAGTCATTGCATCACACAGGTGCGCTGAGAGCCAGGTTTGGGATAAGACTGCTCCCTGCCTGTAATCCCCAGAAGCCTTCACTTACACATGGAGTCCTGAGGGGGTTTTCGGCTTGATTGATGCTTCCTTATTTTGCGGTTACATTTTGCCCTGGAGGAAATGGCTTGGGAAGAGCACCTCTGAGGTAGCATCTGAGCGAGGACTGGTAGTGTTACCAACTGTCAGTCTTTTAAGGCTAGCCGATTTAGCACACGTGATAGAAGCTGAGCTATGGAATGCAGAAGACGACATGCCCGAACGGGCTGAGGAACCATAGAACTTTCGGGAAGTCTCTGCTTTTCTCAAAGCCTAACAACATTTCTCTAGCCAACAACAATTGCCAGCTATTAACAAAAGGGGGAGCAAGGATAAGTAAGTGGGCGAGTGCTTTGTGTGAATCTTTCAACATTTTTGCTAAAGCTTTCACCATCCCCCTGGTATCATTCTAAATAAAACCTCCTCTGAAAACATAGTAATATTTTTTATAATTTTGGAAGTTTTCATAATTATGGAAGTATGTGCCTCTATGTTAAATTTGGAAAGAGAAGCCTTTGCAGGAATTGATGAAGCTTCTGGCAAGGTATGGATTACCCATAGATCTAAAAAGAAATGGCTCAAAAAATATCTTTCAGTTCCTTTCAACTCTCAGTTCTGTAATTCTCATGACCTTCCATAAAGGAACAATGACATGCTTTTTTCTACCAGGTTGCAAGACAGGGCACAACCATACACAGATATCCAGTACTCCCATCCTCATGTCCGTTGTTCTAATCCTGCAGTTGACTGTGGCTATTGATGATCTCCAGTCTTTAGCAGCAGAAGCTCTGAGTCTACTGTCACCTTTCCTGCCAATGTCAATGCTGCTTCAAATATTTATGGGGGAAAAACAAAGACTATACAGGAAGGCAAAGTCCTTTCCTCAACATGGTAGATAAGCAACCTTCTCTGATTCAGTCTAAGACACTTTGGTCACTTTAGTTATCTTTTCACTTATTTCATAGCTGACAGTATGCAAGTAATTATGTTTTCAAGTTTTAGGCAAGGAAAAGTGGAATGGATTTCTAACACTCTAGCTAGACTGTCTATGTGTTGCCATGGCTCACTATGACTTCCCTAGAGAGAAACTAGAGAATAGTTCTGGATAAAGGGTTAGGTACCAAAAAAGACATGGCACGTGAGACCCGGGAAGGGCTAAAGTTCCTCTGTACATGGCCAATAGTGTGGTTCTCTTTCTCTTTCTCTCAAGAAGTGATTCTCTTGACAACCACAAGCCTACATTCAGGGCCTACATGATGGGATCACTTATTCTGGCAAGCCTCATATACGATTTCCATATGGATAGAAATGACTCCACTTTTTTTCATCTCCCTCAAGAAATCCTATTATGGTTTGAATGCGTGAAAATAACACCTACATTATTTAGATAATCCTGAATCTGCTGTATTCACCGAATAGCAGAATTGTTGTAATGATTTAGAAAATTTAGTAATTTACCAGTCATCATAGCACACCTGAACATAAATTCTGGCTCAGAACCACTACTCTCAGGAGCTGAAAAGGCAACAGGGCAGCAGCTCAAGCCCATGCTTTGGTCCTGCAAAAGTAGGGTGACCATCTGTCCATCTATTCGTTGGTTATATATCCATTCACAAGCTGAAATTCAGGAAAATTCGGAGAGCTATGAAAAATAGCACAGCTTGGCATGAGAAGATATCAGAGCCAGGGAAACTAGGTAGGGAGCTGTGGTGGTCACTGGGGTAAGGAGCAAGGATGGAGCCAAGGTGGAAATGGTGCTACGGACTGGAGATAATGGACAGCCACGGTCAGCTGCAGGGTTAGAAGGATGAGTGCAACTGCCATGAATACGGGAGTACCAGGCCTATCTATGTACATGGCCTTTGTGGACTTAGAACCAAGTTCCTTCCCTTTTATTGGAATTTGACACACATGTGGTCCTTGATCCTGGAGTTAGAGAAGAAGAGTTGTGTGGGAACAGCCTCTACTTTCTTTCCAACCAAAGGCTGCTGGGATAGAAGCAGGGCTGTGAACAGACTTCACTGCTGCTTAGGGAGCCCAAGTGGGGAAGATGAGCTGGTAGACTCAACAGAGTAGTAACAAGGGGTCTTAAAAAGAGTTCAAGGACTTGTAGACAATGAAAAACAATAACAGCAAAACACTATATACATGGGATTTCTAAATTTTTTTTGCACCAAAGAATGGTTAAATTTCAGTTTCCCATGAAGTATTTGATGTACTGTCATATGCTTCAACCTTGCAGGTTTGGAATTCTCTTCGTTAGGGGGCATTGGCTGAGGTGACTTGTTTTGCAAAGGGGTTAATGGGTGTTTATGAAAAATGGACCCAGGTTACGCCTAAAGAAAATTGTGAGGCAGAGTAACTGCGTGTTTAGAGACACACTGAAACCATGGCTTCTCCTTGCTTCCTGTCCCTGACCCCTTTTACTCTCTCTGTGCAATTCCCTTTTCAGAATGCTGCTGTCCTCCAGGTGTGCTCTCCTGCAGAGTGGTGGCATTGCAATGAAGACTCCTTGGGGGTGGGGCTGAGGAGGATTTGGACACCCCTTTCCCAAGGGCCATTTTCAAGTTGGCTGTTTCCTCTCCTGGATGTACAGAGACTTCTCTTGCTCCTACTCACCCTGGTTGGGAGCATTGCTCTAATATTGTAGGTAACAAGAGGTAGCAGTGAGCTGCACAGTGTAGTTGGGATGGGGACCCTTCTTGCCCAGTAACTTAGCTCCAATCCCAATGGAAATAAAAATGCAGAAAAAAAACCCAGCTGCCCCTCCTACTCTGAACACTAGCCATATCTGAGTTCATGCTTTGAACCCGAAAGCTGTCGGGCAATGGGTCAAAATGGGTTAATAATTTGCTAGAACGTCTCTTCCAATTCCTACTTTATCTGCAGTTCATTGACGGGAAAAGAAATAATGAGATTCTTTGAGTCTCTGCTCCCATGGGTAATAGGATGATTAACATATATGGAAAACTCAACGATTTGCCAGGCACTAGCCTTCATGCTTTTTGTTATAATATTGTTAATTCTTTATGTACTAAGTCTTTTTCAACCCTCTGCTATCTGCAAGATTATTATTGATATCTCAGAGAAATCTGAAGCACATTGAGAACCTAATTTGCTTAAAGTCAAACTGCTAGGAAGTGGCCAGTCTGGAACCCATGTCCTCAACCACCTTGAAATCTCTCTGTCATATCAGGTGGTGAACTTAAATGGACAACCACAAGGGAAGCTCTTCTTTAGAAAAAATGGAAGCAATCAAAGAATGAAGGAGTAGACATCCTGGAGCATCAGAAGTGGAA